ATGCTCAATGGTGAAATATTATAAACAATCCAATAATGTAAGCATTTAATGAAACATTAGAAGCATTAAACTAATGCACAAGACAAAATATTCATGACAGTCATAATATTCTGGAAGTTCTAGCCACTGCAATTAAACAATCTGGATCCAGAGCCCATCCTTTTAATTTTCTGTATCTCTCTTCCAAACCAATAACAGACTTGTAAAATCACTTAAAATCTTTTCACATTCTGAAGAAAAAATGAGAACAAGTAAAAAATACAGGGAATATGTTAAATTTCAATGCGAGTTAAAGAAATAAAAATGAAGACAATAACAAGTATTTTCTGCTCAAACTGGCAGACTTAAAAAATATTAAAATACCAAGGATTTCATGGGTTCAGGGAATAGTCCTAGGATTACAGATCATCTTGACAATTAAAGTTTAAAAGCATTAATAATGTGCACTTATCATTATCCCTAGAATTCCACTTCCAGGAATCAAGTTTCAGAACATACTCTTGGATATGCACAAAGACTAAACTCAGGAGTAGGCACCAGGGCTGCCATGACCTTTCCCATGTTCCTGATGGACAGCACTGATGGAATAATTTTATTTTAAAAAATGAAGCATCAGAGATATGTTTGAATTTTCTTAACCCATCAGGTAGCTGTAATATGAAAAGTGAATTTTTTAAAGTATTTTTCTTTGTCCCTATACAATAACATTTCAAGATAGTCCCTTCTGAGAAGAGTTTAATAATCTAGCGGACAAGTGGTACAATCCTCTGCATCAACCCTAAGCAGTACAGCACAATGAAGAGGCTAACAGCAGTGGTTAAGGGCTACAGACCTCAAAGTCAAATACTGGTTAGACGCTCAACTCTACTACTTCCCAGTGGCATAAACCTTGATATGGTCACTTAATCTCTCTAAATTTTCTCAAATGTAAAAATCAATACAATTTATTAAACAGGTAAGTTAAACTGATGTTGAAAAGTACTTTATACAGAGCCTGGCATTAGTAATTCAACTAATGTAAAGAATTATTATTTATCAGTAATAAAAAGCCACTTGATCCTTCTTTAAGAGATGCTATATGACAAGTTAACCTTTCTAAAATATAAAGCATTCAAAAATTCTAAAACACTTCTAACCCCAAGATTTTGACTCATGTAACCTAACGTCTAGAGGTATAGCAGTTTCTGGGAAGTTTTGATCCAGCAGCTCAACTAACGTAACATGGGTATAGTTTTCTCCTCTGCTCTTCTTCAGTGTTGGCTTCTTATTCAACTAGCTATCCATTCATGGTCAGAAGACAGCTGCCAGGAGTACAATGACTATGTTTTCTGGTTGAAATTCAGAAAAATAAATAAATGAATAAGTGCCATTATCACAGCATTCCTAGCAAATGTCCTAAGATTCACTCTGATCGATCTGGTTTAGGTTGCATGCCTGCCATGATTGTCTTAGGTAAGACACATGTTCCATTCCTACAAACTCTTCAAAATATATATGAAAAAAAAACATTAAAGTTGACCTTAGTGATTTAAGTTTCTTATATTATTAAAATAATGGTATTACTGCATTTAAATGGATGAGTAAAGCATATCATACAATTTTCCCTATCTTCTTAAAAGATATTCATCACAACCCATCAAGGAAAAAAAAAAAAAAACAGTAAATTCTTCCTTGAATATTAAATCACTTTTTGAAGGATTCAAAATGTACTACCAGATTACCTGCTAAGATCATAAATATAGGTTTATGATTTCCCTTTTTAATGTAAGTGAAAGCAACACCTCAGATTTTCAGTAAGAAAAAGAAGCTCTTATCCCACACTTTTTCAAGATTATAATAGCAAGATAAAAGAAAAGACAGAAGAATACATGAATATCTTTAAAAACAACAACAGAAATTTATTCTCTCCTAGTTCTAAAAGCTAAAAGTCTAAAATCAAGGTGCTGGCAGGGTAGGTTCTCTCCAGAGGCTCTGAGAAAGAATCTTTTCCATGCTTTTCTCCTAGCTTCTGGTGATTGCTGGAAACCCTTGGTGTTCCTTGTCCAATCTCTGCCTGTGTCTTTACATGGCCTTCTCCCTGTGTGTCTGCATCTCTGTGTATTTTCTTTTTAATTTCCAATTTTTTTAAATATGCTTTATTTTCACAGCAGTTTTAGGTTTACAAAGAAATTGAGCAGAAAGTCCAGAGAGTTCCCATTACTCCTCCCCCCCACACACACACAGTTTCTCCTATTATCAACATGCTACATTAGTGTGGTACACTTGCTGCAACTTGAACCAAAATTAATATATTTTATTAACACAATATTACATTAGGGTTCCTTCATTGTGTTGCACAGTTCTATGCATTTTGCCAAATGCATAAGGTCATGTATTCACCATTACAGTATCACACAGAATAGTTTAGCTGCCCTAAAAATCCTCTGTGCTCCACCTATTCATCACTCCCTCCCTCTCTCCTCCTGAAACCTAGCAACCACAGATTTTTTTGTTTCACAAAAATGCACAAAGACTGAACTCAGGAGTGGGCACCATGTCCCCGATGGACAACACAGATGGAATTTTATTTTAGAAAATTAAGTATATCGGAGATATGATTGAATTTTTCTTAACCCATCAGATAGCTGTGATATAATATAAGCAACTAGATAATCCATCCTATGACTCAAGGTCCTTCTTACTATACTCACTACCAAAACTCCATCCCTGCCCTTCCCAAAACACAAGGTCCTAAGAACACAGCAGGATGTACACACTTTAGGGAATTTTTTGGTGAATGTGCATTCCAAAGCCAAATAAAAATTATTCTTAAATTATCTTTCTTACTATCCATGTTCCTCATTCCTATAATTAGCACAGAAAATAGAAGATAAACTAATCTCTTTTTTAGAATGAAGAAAAAAATGAAATTCCATTTATAAGCTTGAAAGCTGATACTCAAACATATAGGAGAGAAGCTGGTTCTGATGGCAAAATTGGACAAAAACAAAAGGTGAAACCAAAGCAACATTTTTTTAGAGTAGAACTAACCACTTGAACATGTGTTACACACAAGTCATCTTAAACAAAAAGCCAATCTTCACTCATAATCCTAGAGGGAAACAGTGCAAAGAAAAGGATGTGAATTAAAAGAAAATCTCTGAGATTATTCAATTCTGTGAATTGGTTTTTCAAATACTCTGTCATTCAAATAATTCAGTTCAGTAAACACATACTGATGGCATTGCTAAGAAGATAGCATAGGTTGAGTATTCCTTACCTGAAATGCTTGGGACCAGAAGTGTTTTGAATTTTTTCAGATTTGAGAATATTTGTAGATACATAACCTAGTTGAGCATCCCTTATCCAAATTCCAAAATGTTCCAATGAGCATTTCCTTTGAGTGTCATGTTGATGCTCAAAGTTTCAAATTTTGGAGCATTTCAAATTTCAGATTTTCTGATTAAGGATGCCCAATCTGTACTAGTGTTAGACACAACAGGGATATAAACATAGCCCTGACTTCACAAAGTTTATAATGTGATACAAAGGCAACATACACAGGCATTACTGGACAGCACAGAACTAATCAAACAGAAATGCAGAAGACACTAAAAGACAGGACTCTGGATAATCGGAAAGGGAAAAAAAACAAATGAATCTGGATGATTTCTGTAGCAAATAACAGAAAATCTCAAGACAAAACTGCTTAAACAATAAGGAAATTCAGATCGGATGGCTCTGGGCGTGGTAAATCCAGTTCCACTTCTCTGCGATTCACTTGGTTCTGTCCTCCTTCCTTCCTATAAGGCATCACCCTCAGGCTACTAACAAGACAGCTGCAGCAGTTACAGATGTCACATCCACATAAAACAAGCTCTGGGGAGAAGAGAGACCATTATCTTTTCTTCTTTTTCTCAAAAGCAAGAAATCCTTCCCTGGAAGCCTCTTTTTTTTTTTTTTTTTTTTTGTCCTTTTCTGTGTCCGGCAACGGATCGCAACCCTCAGTGTCGCCCCCGTACCAGACCG